TGTCACCCCAAACCCTAAACCGCGTAGTTTTAGGGCTTTAACCCTAAACCCCAAATCCTAAAACCGCGTGGCTTTTAGATGTTTGGAGTTCAGGGTATAGAGCTTCTAGGATTCAGGGGTTTCTAGGGTTCAGGACCTAAGGAGCCTAACGGCCTGAAGAAGAAGCACTGTTTGCTGGCCAGGGCCTAAGCCCCAAATCTAGGTTTCAGGTCTAGGATTTAGGGTTTAGGGTTTAGTTAGGTTCAGGTCTAGGATTTAGGGTTTAGGGTTTAGGTTCAGGTCTAGGAGTTAGGGTTTAGGGTTTACCCAAACCGCAAGATTATGTAAAATAATAGCCCTAAACCCAAAATAACAGCCACAAAGCCCATGATTTTACATACTTTGGGGATCCAGGGGCCTACTTCTTGGTAGCTCGTAGTCTGGGAGACTTTCCTCTCAGTGGCCGAAAGCACAAAAACCATGAGCCTCAAGCCCTCAAAAATTCCCTGCGCCCCAGACGTAGGCAAAATAATAGCCCAAAATCATTGAAAAAAAAGCCCAAAGGCAATTATTTTACATACTTTTGGGGTTTCAGGTATTCGACACCCCAAAACCTTCAATCCCATGCCCTAGGCCCTGAAAGGTACACCCTAACGCTGAAGACTCACGTCCAAAACCTCAAAACTTTCCCTTTAGGGTTTAGGATTTAGGGTTTAGGGCTAAGCGTTTAGGGCTTAGGGTTTAGGATTTAGGGCATAGGGATGCATAGGGTCTACTACACCTTGTCACCATCCCGTGGCATGCAGGAACAAGGCCGGCGCTGCAAATGACCCACGGGCCGACAGTTTAAGGTTTCGGCTTTAGGGTTACCTGGAAACCCAAAGTACTTAAAGTAATGGCCTTTATTGGCTGTTGTTATGGGTTTGGCGCTATTATTCTACATACTTTTGGGGTTTAGGCCAGAGCGAGGGTTTTACTTGCTCGTTGTTAGTATGGGACACGGATCCAAAAAGTACACCTACACAGGCCTCAAAACGTAGCGTAATTGCCATGTTCTTTTCCATTCCTTCATCTCAGAACCCAAGGATATTCAGCTTTCAACTTTCATAGACGGATCTACAGGGTCCTAAAACTGAAGTTTTAGCCGCTCATCAAAAGCCTGCAGTCTTATCAAAGTATTAGCCGCAGTCTCAACTCCTAGTATCCCCTCAATAGCCCGTATAGTAGTCCTATATAACCCCCTCTAACGAGTTTAGATTGGGTATTGCCCCCACCCAGTAACAGTCTATATTAGGGATCCTATTAAAGGCTATATATAACTATACTAGAATTATTATCCAACTGTTACTGAGGGGGGGCAGTACCCAAAGTTTACTAGCCTCATATTAGTGGGGGCTCGAGAGGAGCCCGATGCCTTTCCCCAACACCCTCGGCCGTGAGGAAACCCTGAACCCTAATCCCTGAACCCTAAATCCTAAACCCCTAAACCCTATGCCCTAAGCCCTACGCGTATCACTCTGACCCGTGGCACAGACTTTTCGTTTTTTGTTCGGCGCGGTTTTGCTTGCTGTCTGCTGGACCGCCGAAAGCTGCAAATGAAATTCTAGCTGGATGTCTTCTCAAAATGGCTGGTCCAAACACTTTTCAGCCCTTAACTTGGGGCATACCCCCATAAACCCTAAAGCCTAACCCTAATGCAAAATTTTCGGCGCTACCAAGGGACCTGACTTTTTGAGAAATCTCCGCCGGGCACCTGGCCCGCAGCAGGCTTTCCTGCAGCCCTAGATGTTCCCAAGGACTTGGTAGAAACACGTCTGAGCGACGGTAAAAATTTCCCCACATGACTACTGGACATGGGTTCCTATTAGGGACTAATTGGGGGCTCCACTAAACTACAAGAGGGGCGGACCCCTATGTAAACTGCTAAGGGTCCCTTAAAAAGGCTAATATTGACAGCAGCTCATGTAGGTACTGCCCCCACCCGTTAACAGTCCATAATAGGGGTGATCTTCAGGGAATACTGCCCTAAACCCTAAACCCTAAACCCTAACTTTTGCTGGGTGGGGGCGGTATCCGCGGTAGAAACACTTCAGGGCTCAGGGTTTGATTTCATATTCCGGAAGTCTTACCTGAACCCCAAAAGTATGTAAAATGATAGCCACAAGCCCATAATAACAGCCATAAAGGCGATTATTTTACATACTTTGGGGGTCCAGGTACTCATTTATGTGGGGGAGCTTCGAAGCCCTCACCATGCGGATCCAAGTAGGTTTAGGGCTCAGGATTTGGAATATTACCTACTTTGGGCCCCCAAATCCTTACATATTACCTGCATTGGGCTACTTTGGATCCCTTGGGTACACTAAACCCAAACCCTTAACCCTGTGCCCCACAAGATACCTTCACATTTTCAGGATTTCCCAGAACCCAACCCGGCTGTCTGATCCTTGCATCCTTTCACCCTGAATTCTTACCAAGACCCTCTTAGTACCCTGAATTGAGGATATGGCCACCAAAAGTGGGGTACTCGGGCCCTAATAGGGGGTAGGAGGGGAGTTTAGGATCCATTATAGTGCTTTCCATACCCTAAACCCTAAACCCAGGTACAGGCCCAAACCTATGAGCCTCAGAAGTCCTACGCCAACCTGCTTTCTGCACGCGGAGTGCTCCACCAAACGAGGAAGGCCAGTGGTGACAGCACGCAAACCGTGACGAAATTGGCTAAAGCCTGGCTTCGTGTTGAGGTTTGAGGATTTGGTCATTTCCCTAAATATCGGGACCCCATACAGACCCCAAAAATTTTATAGTTCTCCTTATTATGGGAACCCCCAAAAAAGGTACCCGTTATTTTGGGAAACCACCATTTAGGTTCTGGGACTGAGGTATGAGGGATACCCAGGCCCCCTAAAGAATCCACAAAAAATCGAAGCCCCCCACTGTGAACCCATTGCTACATTGGGGAAACTAGGGGATCATTAGGGGGGTCAATTTTGTGGATCCTTTAGGGGGTCTGGGTAGCAGTTGCTGCGCCAAAACGGGACATCAATCCTTGGAACAGGGGCCGCCTTCCCAAAGCCGGATATAGGGCTTTCCCAAAATTAGGGGTACCATTTTGGGGGTCCTAATAATAAGGATTATAGTATTTTGGGGGTCTATATTGGGGTCCCCTTATTTGGGGAAACTACCATATAATGAAAGCCCTAAACCCTAAACCTTAAACCCTAAAACCATATGGGCGTTGCCCAATATTACTTCATAACAAAATGACCTCTACGCGGAAATCCAAAGTTCCTTTCGC